GCATTCCTGTACTTACTTGTCTTGGGAAAAGCAGGAGCAGACTGGGGGTTCTTTAGTGTGGTCAAGTTGTGAAAATGCTTGGAGTCCTGTGAGAGGACCTGGTGGGGAAACCCTCTGTCAATCAGTGTGAATCTGGACCATCTCATCATGGCCAGAGGCAAACACAATATGCAAGCCCAGAGATTTAAGTTTCCTTTAGGTTGACTCCAGTAATGGAGTTAAGATGAACACTGTTCAGGAAACACAGATTTTTATCTGCATGCAATTAAGATAATTTATACTTGTAGGAACTGGTTACATTGACATGGAAGTTATGTTAGCAGAGAAGTAATTATTTGCTTCGAGACAGGTGAACTTTCTAATGAGCATAACCTTTCTTTTCTTAACGGTCCAACACAGCCAAAAGTCTTTCATACTGAGGTAGAACTCTTGTTCACAATCACCATTTCTCTGTGCGGTTTTTCCACATGGCTCTTTGTGGCAGGTCTTCAAGGGGTAGCAGTCTGGTTTTCCTGCTGCTTGGAGCACTGACTTGTAGAATGTATTTCCAAGTATTGGTTTCGGTATTTCTGCTCTAAGGTCATTTGTCCATGATCAAGTCTTTATCTGAAAAATATTCCCATGATTAATCTCTTTCAGAGTGTGACTTTTATAGTTATACGGTTACTTGTATGCTTTGAAGGTATAGGCCATCTATATGGATTTAAAAATAAATACAATAGGGACTTCCCTGGCAATCCAGTGGTTAAGACTCTGTGTTTCCAATGCAAGGGGTGCAGGTTCGATCCCTGGTCCGGGAGCTGAGATCCCACATGCTGCGGGGCACAACGACAACAAAAATAAATAAATAAAATAAAAATCAATAGAATGGGATGTGTTGCAGTGCTTAAAATGTGTCCATCAAATCCAATCCAAGGGAAAATCACAAACATAGTAAAAATTACTTTTGGAACAAATTCTGTCCCATAGAAAGTGATCTGTCTATTCCCTTCAACCCTCCTCACTTACCTGTGAGTCCTCAGGCTGCTTCATGGCTCTTTACTACACCTGACCTGCCCTTCTCATCAGAGCCTGTGTCCAGACTTCATCTACTTCCCCTGTAATACTTACACATCCTGTGTCTAACCCAGATCCTTATGTTCATATGCAAATATGGAAATAGGGAACTATCAATACAATGGAATTGGATCATTTACACCTTGAATGGCACACATTCACCTGAATTTACTAGGCAAAATCAAAAAGGCAGTGGAAGAGAAATGAGTTAAATAGTTAAATAGAGCATGAGGCCCACTGTCCTGTGTAGTGAGAATAGGTCCCTTATTAAGGATAGTTTCAGAGGTAGGACCCTGGTTTTCTAACTGTTTCTTTTCCTGAGCCCCTCTTTAAGGGTGGGTATCTCACCCTGGCAGATGCTAGTCCACTGCTTAAAGGTAGGTGGTTTTGGAACAACCAACTCTTTCAATTCTAACAGGTATTTCATCTGACGGTAAACAAAAGAAAGTGGCTTATTCTATTGCTGGAGGGAAACCTAGCTGTGCTGGACTCATTAAGAGAAGGCATTGGTCTCTTCCCAGTGAATAAAGACATAAATATTGGGCTCTCTGCGTGATTTAAGTGTATCTGTGATACACTTAAATGTATCAAGAGTCATTTTTGATTATATGTGACTTTTTTACCTTCTGACTTGAATCTAACATTCTGGAATATTGTCCTTTCTTATTCTCTCCCATTTCCCCTAATACCAGTTGCATTTATCTCAGAATTTCTGAGGTAAGGGTTTGATTTAAAAGAATGACTCCACAGATGTGGGATTTAGCCACTGTGGCTGCCTGCATGTGTTTAGGAAACAGACTTCATGGGGCTATTTTCAGTGTGAAAAGAACCATCCTAGGTGTAACGTGTAATTTTATGCTGTAATTTTATGGGTAAGACCATAAATGTATCCAGTTAGATGTATCATGTAGGGCAAGTCACTTAGCTTCTTTCTGGGTTTTGGTTTTCTTATCTGTAAGATAAGGAGTTTAGATTCTCTCAGTCCTAAGGATCTTTGAGTCTAATTGAAGATGTCATGTCAGTTCCCATTAATTATGCAGTAAAATTTTCAAGCTTTTTGCGTTTTCTCTTGGCTGCCCTGTTTTGAGGAGGGTTACCTTTGCTTTAACTTTTTTCAAAATGAATTCACAAACACTATGTACTGTCTGATTTCTCAAGGAATTAAAATGTAATACCACAGAAAATACAGAAAAATAATAAAACCACGTTCAGAAAAGTAGAGCATAGAATTATAAGAGGGGGAAGAATTGGGAATTATACAAGTAGTTAAAGGAATAGATAGGTTTAAATCGAGGACAAAAGGACCCCAAGCAATAATTTAAAAGATTAGTGTGTTAGTTAATGTGTTAACTATAGGAGGAGAAAGACTGCTTCATGCGTGTTGGTCAACTTCCCAAAGATTTAGAATCCAGAGAAATTAATCTCTTATTTGTGTGGACCCTTAAAAAGCAAGATTGTCTGGAAAAGTGTATGAAACTCAAACCAGTTGACTACACTACTTTTAGCATCTCTGGCAAGATAATAGCAAGTGGCTAACAGAAGGTTTGGGGATTATCTGTAGATTTTAGAGATCTAGTAATTTTTGAATTCTGCAGCAGAAATATTATGGAGCCCATGTAAAAAATATTGATTCACATATAAGAGTCAGAAGAAACAAAAGACACATTTTGTGAGGTGGAACTCATGGATGGGAGGTTGTGTTTATTTTTAATAATGCGTGTTGTTAGTTGCTAAGAATTGACAGCTATTATTTGCAGTATTTTCCTGAGGATAATCTCATACTCATCTATGTGCCATACGTGCAGGAAGTGCCAAGAAAATCTGTTGTTTTTCAACCGCTCTGCTGCCTGAACTACAAATAGTACATTTTGGTAGCAGATGGAGCATAAGGAAATGCCAGTTCAATTTAATATGACCTCCCGTCATGTGATAGGTTTCAATAGGGAAATTAAAAGTGCTACTGTCACTCATAAGGAACCTGTGTCTACCTCTAATGTTCTTCATTTAACTTGCAATAGAAAACAACAATTTAAATTATGAATTAAAACTTTATAGCTGGGAAGGACTTTATAAACATTTCCTGTCCAGCCCACTTCAGCGGTGCAAGGAAGCATAATGTCAGTTACACAATTAACTGTAACATATGTGGGACTGGAACTCAGGTCCTCTGCTTTTCCGTAACAGTGGTTTACTTTTAGATTCCTCACAAAGAAGAGTAGGGGATAGAACACTTACCTGTTTAGACTTTACATCTGTTGAAGGAATCATAGTTGGATGGACTAGAGAACAGCAACTTTGGTCTGTTAACAGGAGGAGTTAATTGAATTGATTAACCATAACTAAGTTGTTTTTTCACCAAGATCATTTCAAGAAACGACAGTGCCCAGGCAGCAGCTTCACAAGGTGGTTTAAGGATCAAGGGGAAAAAATATGGTGAATATGTACAAATGTAACGCGCTTGAAATTTTGGTCATACTAAGTGAAGCTACTGCAGTAAGCCCTCTTATGTTGTCC